ACATGCTTTGGCTCTTGTCAACCTGTGCCTAATATTTTCTAGAATTAGGAAAGCAGGATACATCCCTCCAGGGAGAGAGTGCGCATTCCATCCCAACAATCTATCTCTGGGGTTTCCATGTGTAGGTGGGATGCATGGAAATCTCAGCTTGGTGTGGATACTCTTAAGCATAGTGATGGGTTTCCACATATGTCAAGACACCGAGCTGACCCCAAATAAAGAGAATAAGAATTCTAAGAATTCCATATTTTTTGAAGGAATGGGTACTAACTTTCATTAATTTCTGGTTTATTCATCACATTTATTAACTTCTTCAAATTATCCTTGCAATGGCAATGTCAGGGTCCTGTATGTTTGGCAATTTTCCATTTGGTCAATCCATAGGTGGTCCATTTCACATAGGGCCTCTCCTCCAAACACAACCATGTTGAAATTGGTAAAACACAGAGAAAGCAGAGTACAAATAATAGTTTGCATTTGAAACCCAAATCTCCTAAATGAGAGTCCAGAGTCTAATGTTCCAGCATTTTAACAACCAGATGTACCAAACAAACATCACCACAAATAATACTACTAAGGAAGCCAACCCAGGGGCAGAAGGAATAGTGAACAGGTAATGTCATGATGACAGATTATAAGCTATTTTATATCCAAACAGTGCTTTGCAAAAAACAGAGAAAGAATTCCCCTATTACTGTGCTGCAAATATGATTTTTCACAGTTGTCTCAACTTCCCAAAGCAATGAACAAATGTGCTTCAGTTATTATTCTTACAGCCAAGAATGGTTATTCAGATCTTTATTAATTTGGCAGCTGAATTAACCTGACATGTTAGCCCATAACTGTTTCCAGAACTATGTCGACCTGTTAAAGCTTTGGAGGATTACATTTCTTTTGTACATTCAGTGCCCAAAACAAATCAACAATACTATCGTTAAGATAAATAATTGTGTAGAAAAGGAAGCCTATTTTGAACTGTGTTCAATAAACCCTATAAATGCTGTGCACATGGAAAATCAATCACATCTAGAGCCTCAGGATGTGTGAGTTAATCAAATTTATGTTTAAATATCCCCAAAACAAACAAATTGCTACAACAAAGAGACACTGATGTAGGAAGTAGTCTTCCATTAGATAAGCAAGGGGCAGTTGGGAAACACAGGAAGTTGAGTGATATTTCCCGGAGATGGGCAATCGTATTTTTTTTTTAAAAAATGGTTCTAGCATGGTAGTTGTTGTTTAACAGCTAAAACACAGAGACATCTCTGCTTCAAATTAATCTAGAGCTAGATTCCAGTCTAATAAACACAGCAAGCATTTTACATGAGTTATAACCTGATTATACTAACTGGCACTCGCGGCACACATCTGGTCTTTGTTACATGTGTTTTTTTCCTTTCTTAGTCCATCAGAGGCCTTGTTTGAAGCGCATGTCTTGTGCTCCCTGCCATACCTCAGTCAAGGAGACAAACTATGTGTAGGAAGTAAATTAGGACCACATTGATCCGTGACCCTCATCCAACCAGTGACTGAACAAATCCTACATTCGGAATGACAGCAAATATTAAATAGGGCTTAGTTTCTCCTCATTTTTACTGAGGAGGTTGGCAGATGAAAAGAAATTAAACTGGAACATGAACCCACCACTGGAGCTCAAGGCAGTTCATTCAAAAGCACCGGTACACTTAGATTCTGGATTAGATGAACACTACAATATTTGTTTTAAATTGAAACTAAAGAGAGACAGATTGTCTTGCAGACCATAACTGGCCAAATAGAGTATTCAAGAATAGTATTATTTCCCTCCTCACGTGGTATAACCTGCTGAATCGATTTATATTGAACAGTTTTGTCATAGACTGTAGACACTGTGGTGCAGACAGGAAGATGGGGGGAAGGGCAAGTCTGTAATCCCACAAAAGTAGCATTACTTTCCCATTACAGTGTAAAGAATGGGTCATTCCATGTCAACTCAATCAAGACCCCCACGATCGCTCACATAATTTCTTTCCCTCACCACATACAACCACATCAAATTTAGATAGTATTTCACGGAACAGTACAACTACCAGGTTGGCTGGCAGAATCTTAACTTCCCATAATATACCTTTTCAAGAGTGGAGGCAAGGAGGTCAGTATCCGAGAAGTTTCTGCACCATGTTTAATGCTTGTCAATGTTCACTATTGTTTCATTAGCAGAAGTGTGTTTATCAGGTCAGACAAAAGCCTTTAACACTTGATCTCACACCTCACCTTCAATTTACGTGGAGGCTCTCCTGGGATTTGAGGCTTTTAATAACTTCAATTGCTTTTAACTTTTACTAACCATACACCAAATTCAGAAGTTGCACCAAAATATCTAGTGATTTATAGCAAAAGGATAGCAATAGTTTAACAATAGCAATGGTCTGAATGTCAGGGAATCAGACAGTTTAGTAGCTTGAGTCGTGAATGTGCTGCACATTCAAACCATGGGTCACAAGGTCAAGTCCCAAGGGTTCATGTTCCAACTCACACCAAATAAATCAAAGGTGGATTGATTTGGGATTCAATGACATGTTTATTTTGTCAAACATATAAATTCCCTGGCCATATTGCTTCAAACCAAAAATGTAAATGTGTTTTGTTATATTTCCCTTAAGATTTGGTGAACTATCTACTTGATAGCCCTGGCTGGAAGATCCAATAGTTAAATGAATTTACCAGTAATGATTACTAGTCCACTAACCTTCTTGCTTGTCCTTTAACTTGTGTCAATCTGGCATCATTTGCAGCACACTGTAGGTTCAAGCTCCACATTGGTATTTTGAACTCACACTGTCTAGGATGACACTTCAATACAGTGCTGGGGATACATTGAATAGTTGGAAGTGCTGCCTTCAGATTTGAAGTGAATTCAACGTCCTGCATACTTTTTCAAGTGGACGTTAAAATCCTATGGCACTTTTTGTGGGCTATTCTTCTATGCAAATTGGCTATTGTGTTTGTCTGCAAAACATGCAATCACTGCCCTTTACAGTAAGTCCTGTGAATTGCTTTGAAATATCCACCAGGTGTGAAAGGAACTATACCAAATACAAGGTTTATTATGATTATAACTTAATCTTTCTTTTCCTTCACTGAAAATAAATGAATTTTTTTCAGGTACATGTCATGAACAAGTACTGCCATACCATTCCCCTTATTTGTGCTCAAAGTACAATTGTGTGTGCCAGCCTGGCTCAATAGTACTCTCACTTTTGCGTCAGAAGATTGTGGGTTCAAGCCCCATGTAGAAATTTGGAACTCATATTGTCAAAGATGACACTCGAGTGCAGTACTGTGGGTGTGCTGCAATGTTGGAGGAGCCGCCCTTCGGATGAGACATTATGCCAAGGTCCCGCCTGCCTATTCACATTAAAGACTCCAAGGTACTATTTGAAAAGAGAAGGGAGTTCCTCCCAGTGTCCTGGCCAACAAATCCCCAAGTAAAATTGGTCTTTCACTTCCTGACTATTTGTGGGACATCATTTTGTGCAAACTGGCTGCTGTGATTGCTCACAAAACACGGTCATTCAATCTTTCAATATATCTTGTGAAGCGTTTGGGACATCCTGCTGATGTGAAAGGCACAAAGCAAATGTGAAGATTATTCTAATTAAAATGTTAGCAAAGTTATGGGATGCAATGTCAAAAATATACACGATATCTTCCCTTACCTCAGATTAGCAAAACAAAGACAGGAACCTACATTTGTACAATATAGTGTGCGTTTTAAAATCTCCTTCCAAAATGGCACTTCTGGCAAAATATGGGACAAAAGTGATGACTCCAGATACCAGTTTGAAGAGTGGCATTTACGGCAGTATTTCTGTTCCCAGAATCAGCATACTTGTGATTCCAGTAAACTCATACCAGGATCCAGGATATGAAGCATTTTGCAACAATTTCAACCTCAGAGGCCACTATAGAACACAATGCCAACAATACAAGGACTTATGTCCCCAAAACTCCATTTGCCTGGACAGAAGTGGTGAAATCGATGGTTGCCAGTAATCATTTCTGAAATGGTCTTTCCATGAATATTAGAATGTAAAAAATGAGATGTTAAGTTTTCTCACCAATTCTTTACTGGATAACTGAGATTATTCTTTCAGATTTAAATCAAGAACTGAACAAGGATCCCAGTTCTCAATATTCCCCTCATTGACTGCACATTGTAAAACCAACTTAATAAATAATAATCCCTTCACCTGATATACAATATTTCCGTTGGGGAGAATATCTCAAAGGACTTCGCCAGATTTACCATTAAATGTTGTGGCTGCTTTTTGATGACGGAAAGCGGCAACCAATTTGTGCACAGAAAGGGAAATGTAATGACTAATTTCTCTAATGACAAGAATGCAGTAGGGAAATTCAGGGACAACCAGAGAATCAAGGATGGAGGGACCTGAAACGAGTCTCAATCTGTTCCCAATGCAACTACTTCATGAAAACTTGCAGAAAATAACCACACCAAAAAAAGAGGTTTGAACAATACACCAACACACTCTCTGGGGTCTCCCAACCTTGGCTCTCGTCAACCTGCACCTAATACAACAACAACAAAATTATATTTATATAGCGCCTTTCACTTTGGAAGGGCATCCCAAGGCGGAGGTTAGAATCAGGAAGGCTGGAGGGCAGGAGGGGGGGGGTTGGCTGAAAAATATATTTTCAGATTTGGAAAAATACTTTCCGGATTTAGGTAGGCGGAATGCATCCCTCCGGGCAGAGAGTGCGCATTCCATTCCAATAAATATCTCAGAAAATTCCAAGTATAGGTGGGATGCATGGAACTCTCAATTTAGTTTTGATACTCTTAAGCACGGTGATGTGTTTCCACATGTGTCAGACACTTGGCTGACCAAAAAAATGGAAAGGGGATGAGAGGCAATCTATAAGCGGCTAATGTGCAATCCCATTGAATCCGCACAGAGGGTAAAGCACATGGAATGCTGACCGAATGAGAGACCAACCTGCTGTTTGAGTTGCTGCACCAATCTGTCCTTCTCCCTCTTCAGTGATATCACTTCCTCCTGGGTTTTCTTTTTTTTGGACGATGATAACTCTAGCAGAGCAATGTTAGCATCCTTTTCACTGATGGCAGCCAGCAATGCCTCTTGCCTGAAAGAATCAGAAGAACCATGAAAAAACAAGTTTTTATAAACATTTGCCTTCTTTCTCTCCCTTTCCCTGCCTTCTTTCCCTCCCACAAAAAATCTCAATAGACTGAGCATCGCCTGCAATTTTGGAGCATGACCTCTGTTTCACAATCAATTCATTGCAATGAAACAAGAATCACAAGTGTTGTCAATCCATCATCAAAGGGGTATCGTTGTTTGCACAAGCTATGTTGGTGCTGCCCAATATGACAGCAGGTAATTAATCCATTACAAGAGCTTTTCAGCATCATTTGTTTCAAGTAGTTTGCACTATAATAATAATCTTGGCATTTGATATAGTGTTTTTCACCTTGGGATTCCATTGCAAAGTGCTTCACAGGATTTACTGTAACTGTTTATCTTGTAGGTAAATGTTGCAGCCAATTTACCACAGCCAAGAGCGCAAACAGCATGAAACAAATGACCTAATTTATCTCGAGAAATGTTGGCCAGGACACCAGGACAATCTCTCTACTTTTTTCCTAGTGCCATGGGATCCTTAACGCCCATCTGAATGGGCAGTTGGGACCTAATCCGAAGTACAAACCAGCATCCTGGAAGGCGAGCCATCTTCGTGGCAGGCATGTTTTTTGCCAAGACACTTCGCATAAGGGCCTGGATTAAGCAATTGGTATTGAATAAATCTGGTACAGCATAGTTGATGACAATCATTTAGTCTGTCTCATTGGCAGGACTTGGAAGAGACAGACCAATCACTTAGGGGAGGGATTCTTCTCACTTGGCTCCAGTTATCCCTACAAGCTAAAGAGTGGTCCTAGCTGGATAATTGTACAATGTGCATGCTCGAAAAGCTTGCTGTCACAAGACTCCTGGCTCATGTTTAGGTGAAGTACCAAATGCCTGTGGAAAAAGAAAAATTGATTGCAGAAACAAAGATGGATACTTAATCCCCATTTAAGAGATTACTCACGGATCCTGATTCAATCCAAAATCTCTCAAACTGAATTCAAAGCAGATTAGCTGCATTCAGAGCATGATCCACAAATGATTCAGATAATAGAATAATAAATAACCCTTGCATTTGATATAGCACTTTTCACGTCCTCTAGACTTCTCAAAGCGCTTCACAGAATATATTGTAAAGTGAATTGACTGCATATTTGTGGGCAATATTCAAATGTTCATTAAGATATACTTTAAGTGAGTCCAAACATGGTCTAATATAAACTGATAGATCAAATGATATCCATCACATTTATTCTTTCTTCCTGGGTTGAGAAGATCAAGACGGTTCTGCTCAGAGTCTGTGCAGCAAATTAATGGAAGGCAAGTCTGAGGGGCCAGGCAAGACTGCAACTCCAACACACAACCTTCTGCTAAAACACAACCATTGCTGAAGAACCAAACATATAACCATTCACACCAGACAGAAAACCTTGCTGTGCACAAATTCAGTTACATTCACACAATAATAGTTATAAATAATAATCCTTGCATTTGATGTAGTAGTTTTCACATCAGAAGCATGTCTCAAGGTACTTCATAGGATTTACTATAAAGTGTAGTGACTACATTGGTAGGCAAACATTAATTACTGATGAAGTTGTTTGTTTCAATGTTATAATTAAAATAATTCAACTCACATCAACTGGTATTCAGCCAACTCTGTCCAGTCAGCAAAGTCTCTGCTATAGTAAACAAATGTTTTTTCTGAAATGTTTTACAGGAATAGTAAAGTCATAGCTGTTGGCTACAACATTCCTCGAACATTGTCAAGTCTCCATAAAATGGGTCAACATAAAAATAAAATTAAAAACAGCTGGAGTATCACCAATCCACGGTGTTGAGTTTCTCTCACTCAACTCATGTGATCTGTCCACTGTGCATTTGTATTAATACTGTATTTTGTGATTTTGCAACAGGTAGTCCCTTTCCATGAACCAAGGTGAATGATTTTTAACAGGTCACTCTAGCCCTTTAGTCACAGCTTCCCCATCTTGGCAACATCTGTCAAATTTAACTCCTTTAAACTGGGCTTACAAATTCAGGGCCTTAGTGTATACAAGAAATAGGAGGAGTCCAAATACAGATCCCCGATGCATTCCGCATTGCATCTCTTTCCAGCACCCCATTTTGAATTAACTTCCTTCACAACAAACGTCTGCTTCCTCCCTTCAGCCAATTTTGAATACGCCTTCACGTTTCGCTCCTTGATGGAATGCATTTCCTTAAAGGGTGGTGGAAGCCGATTCAATAACAACTTTTAAGAGAGAAGAAGATAATTATTTGGGGAGGACAAGTTTGCAGGGTTACGGAGGAGAGAGCGGGGGAGTAGGATTGATTTGGATAGCTCTTTCAAAAGAGCCGGCACAGACACGATGGGCTGAATGAGCTCCTTCAGTGCTGTATAATTCTATGATTCTATGATGTGAAGGAGTCTTTCATTTGATACTTAGTCAAGTGCCTTTTGGAGATCTAAATACATAATGGTCATATGGCTTCCCATAATCAATTTGGTATGTCATCTCAAGATAGTACATGATGTAATGAGGTCAATCAACCCTGGCACAGACTGGAAATCAAACCTTAAATTTGGTCTGTACAGTTAAGTGCTGCCACATTCAGTGCAATATCTTTACCCACCAGACAGTTGAAAGACCCATCAATAAATGCCTTTTAATGGCTTCCAATGGGTGTTGGGTACTGCATTTGACCCCAATATCTGAAGTGACTAAATCAGTTAAATGTAAATATTCACTTGTCAGAAATTCTAAATTTTATTAATGCTATATATTCTCCATTAGTGCATTCTGACAAAATCCAAGTATAATATTTTGAAAGGGCAAGACTTTATGAAAGATTTCCTTCCCTTCTCCAGACAACTCATTTTTTTAAAAAAATGGTGCATTGTTTGAACACAAGTTAATGAACTTGAGAAATACAGCAGGAATTATCCTGCAGGTCTGTGGGCAAAAAGACTTGCCCAATATTTTTCTCCCCAAATTATTCTCCCACCCACTGGATTATTCTGCCAATTTAGCACAAGCTGTTGCCATTGTGCCTTGTTACTCAATGCAATTGTCAACCTGGAGGAAAAACATTAAATCATACTTGGAGCATGAGTAGCATGGAGTTTTGGGTCATGAATAAATGCTGACTGGGAGCTCAAAGGTTCCCAAACTGAACTTGGGCATTCCCCTGTGAAACATCCACTTGAATACTCCAATTACCCTCTACTCCCAGCATGGTGCTGTCAAGATGAATAATATCACTGTACAGTGCAGGCACATTTTTCGTGCAGTCCAAGCTATGTAATCTGTGGATTTCTTCAAATTGTGCATTTAGTCCTTTATGCAATATCTGCATTTCATTCGGAAAAAAGTGAAACCCGGCAAGGCCACATTGATGATAGCATGAAAAGGTTATCTAAAACAATAGCTGATTATTATGCTTTGTCCTTCCACTGCACCAAAGTGAATAGGGATAAACTGTGATTTTCCAATTGACTGGTAGGAAGTTATTTGGAATATTTACGTCCCCCTCCAAGAACCTAGATTTAGCCAGGCACCAAGCCTCTTTTGAGAAGATTTCTCAGACACATTCCTTAGATGTTCTTCCAAATAAATCAGAATCTGTAGCAACATGTCTAATGACATATTTTCTAACTGGTTTGTCCCACAACTTTGATTGATCAGCATGGAGAAGGCCACTTGCACCATTAAGTTCAATGCTGCACTGAAACCCCCTCTCTAGCAGGGACACTGGCACTCCTAACAAAATGTACATTATGGAAGATTCTTAATTTATTTATCTGCATGCATCATGTAACTTGCAGAATACCATGACAGTAGATAAACTCTACTTATGCCAATACAAAATACATTGCAATTGCATTTGGTTGTTTTATTAAAAGCTACAAATGTAATAACTCCTCAATTGTCACATTTCAAGCTTTTATTAAAACACTCAAATGCTTCACACTTGATTCCCTGTCAAAAGTTGGTTCCAAACACTTAAATCTTAATCAGAAACATCTCAAATGTTGAGTTAGGATCAATAGGCTATTAATACTTTTTTTTAGACAAGGAACTTCTCCAGGTTAAACTGCTGAACTCGTTGTTAACACGTGTAACCCATAGCAGAAACCTTTCATCAGATCTTTGAACAAAGCCGTTCTTTATGCCATTCTGTGCTTCAAAATGATTCCTTCTTGGCAATATAATCAGCAGATCTGTTACAACTATATGGCATTGTAATCAGCAGTCCTGTAGCTTAGTGGTCAGAGTACTCAAAAACAAAATTACACTTGTATACGCCTTTCATGTTGGGAAGATATCCCAAGGCGCTGGACAATCAGTGTTTTGGACCTGAGCTGGGGGTCAGGATCGGGGATGGCGGAGATCAGGGGGGGGAAGGAGGGTGACCGATGGCAAGCGGATCTGGGTTCGATTCCTGAGCAGGGCGAAATGTTGGGCAAGTTTCCTTGCTCCACATGATCATTTGGGTTGACAGTGACAGTGCTGTCAGCAGTTCGACTAATGAAAGTCTGAGCTGCTTCCTGCTTATCTCAAGAGCTGTCAGATCAGACGTTGACTCACCTGCCTGACCAGGTGAAGCTGAAATTTACTGCCCTCTAATTAACAGTCTGCATTGATAAAAGTAAAAATCTCTTCAATATTTTACTCAACTCTAAAATGTTCACCACATTACCCGTGTCTCACAAGTAACCCCAACACTGCACCATAGAAAAAACAATAAGAACTGTTGTATGACTTCAACCTCAGCCACATCAATGATGATCATTAACAATTTCCAGTCTTAATAAAGGCCTTTTTGTACATATTCACTTTCACATATCAGTTTCAATGTTACAGGAGGTACTGGTGTATTACTTAATTATAATAATAATAATAATAATAATCCTTGCATTTGATATAGCGCTTTTCACGTCGGGAGGACGTCCCAAAGCGCTTCACAGAACACACTGTAAAGTGAATTGAC